AGGAGTTTGCATAGAACAAATGAAAGACTCGACGTTTGCATAAAACAAATGAAAGACTCGAAGTTTGCATAGAATAAATGAAAGACTTGAAATTTGCATAGAACAAATGAAAGACTCGACGTTTGCATAGAATAAATGAAAAACTCGGAGTTTGCATAGAACAAATGAAAGACTCGACGTTTGCATAAAACAAATGAAAGACTCGAAGTTTGCATAGAACAAATGAAAGACTGGAAGTTTGCATAGAAAAAAATGAACGACTATGAGGTTACGGCATAGAACAAATGAAAGACTCGGGGGTTGCGGCATAGAACAAATAAAAGACTCGAAGTTTGCATAGAACAAATGAAAGACTCGAAGTTTGAATAGAACAAATGAAAGACTCTGGGGTTACGGCATGGAACAAATGAAAGACTCGGGGGTTGCGGCATAGAACAAATAAAAGACTAGGAGTTTGCATAGAACAAATGAAAGACTAGGAGTTTGCATAGAACAAATGAAAGACTAGGAGGTTACGGCATAGAACAAATGAAAGACTATGAGTTTGCATAGAACAAATGAAAGACTCGAAGTTTGCATAGAACAAATGAAAGACTAGGAGGTTACGGCATAGAACAAATGAAAGACTCGGAGTTTGCGTAGAGCAAATGAAAGACTCGGAGTTTGCATAGAACAAATGAAAGACTAGGGGATTGCATAGAACAAATGAAAGACTCGGAGTTTGCATAGAACAAATGAAAGACTAGGAGTTTCCATAGAAAAAATGAAAGACTCGGAGTTTGCATAGAACAAATGAAAGACTAGGAGTTTACATAGAACAAATGAAAGACTAGGAGTTTGCATAGAACAAATGAAAGACTAGAGAGGTTACGGCATAGAACAAATGAAAGACTCGGAGTTTGCATAGAACAAATGAAAGACTATGAGTTTGCATAGAACAAATGAAAGACTAGGAGGTTACGGCATAGAACAAATGAAAGACTTGGAGTTTGCGTAGAGCAAATGAAAGACTCGGAGTTTGCATAGAACAAATGAAAGACTAGGGGTTTGCATAGAACAAATGAAAGACTCGGAGTTTGCATAGAACAAATAAAAGACTAGGAGTTTCCATAGAAAAAATGAAAGACTCGGAGTTTGCATAGAACAAATGAAAGACTAGGAGTTTACATAGAACAAATGAAAGACTATGAGTTTGCATAGAACAAATGAAAGACTAGGAGTTTGCGTAGAGCAAATGAAAGACTCGAAGTTTGCTTAGAACAAATGAAAGACTAGGGGTTTGCATAGAACAAATGAAAGACTCGGAGTTTGCATAGAACAAATGAAAGACTAGGAGATTCCATAGAACAAATGAAAGACTCGGAGTTTGCATAGAACAAATGAAAGACTAGGAGTTTCCATAGAAAAAATGAAAGACTCGGAGTTTGCATAGAACAAATGAAAGACTAGGAGTTTCCATAGAACAAATGAAAGACTAGGAGTTTGCATTGAACAAATGAAAGACTCGAAGTTTGCATAGAACAAATGAAAGACTCTGAGGTTGCGACATAGAACAAATGAAAGACTCGGAGTTTGCATAGAACAAATGAAAGACTCGAAGTTTGCATAGAACAAATGAAAGACTAGGAGTTTGCATAGAACAAATGAAAGACTCGGAGTTTGCATAGAACAAATGAAAGACTAGGAGTTTGCATAGAACAAATGAAAGACTCGGAGTTTGCATAGAACAAATGAAAGACTAGGAGTTTGCATAGAACAAATGAAAGAATCGGAGTTTGCATAGAACAAATGAAAGACTTGGAGTTTGTATAGAACAAATGAAAAACTTGAAGTTTGCATAGAACAAATGAAAGACTCGAAGTTTGCATAGAACAAATGAAAGACTTGGAGTTTGTATAGAACAAATGAAAAAAAATCGGAGTTTGCATAGAACAAATGAAAAACTTGAAGTTTGCATAGAACAAATGAAAGACTCAGGGGTTGCGGCATAGAACAAATAAAAGTTCTGCAGCACTATAATTTGTTTCCTAAATAAATAACTTGAGACAAAATTAAAACAAAACACAACAAGAACAACATTATTTGTATATTACCCACAGTCTCTCTATTATCGATAGATGGGCTGTGCCTCCGGAACTTTGGCCTACATGCGAGTCTATTTTATGCCTATCCCAAGGCCGGGTTCTAATGTAAGTCATATTTGAACATTTCATATATAGTTAAAAACAATTCAAAAATACGCTATTGAAAGGTAGAGTGGAACCCCGGGAAAACATCATCAAAGTGGGGATGGGTTTCGTCATCTGCACATTTAAACCAGTTGAAAAACACTAAACCTATTGAAAACAAACTAAACCTTTTAAAATCAAAAACACTGAGCTCTACTTAAAGGGTTAATTACAGTCGTACCATAATCGTTCAGTTAATAAGTATTTATGGAAAGAAAGCTTAAAGAAAATTCTCGGGAGTAAAGTATAAGTTGACCATAGGCCACAACGGATTTGACAGCATGGCGCCCTCTGTGTCAGATATACCGACATTAAACCCCATCGATTTTACGTTTTTGTATTTTCAAAATTATGAACAAGTATTGACGTATTTTTGGATTTTAAATTTCAGACGTTGTTGAGATAAACCAGTGTACGTCATCGTGGCATTTCATGGGAAATATTTAACAATACATCACCCTAAAGTCACATGATACAGCGTCCCATACTAGGATACTAGGGCGAAGCTTGCTAACACAATCGTTTTTTTTTTCTTTGGGGGGTGGAATAAATTGATGAACTATACGAACACATCAAATATATCCCGCACACAAATATGATGCGGGTGACTTTTTGGAACCAGAAAGTACGTTATATGTACAACGACATTAGAATATACGACATTTACATGCCCCTCATTCAGTCAAACGAGTTTCGTTTTTCATAATTTTTGCAGCAAAGTGCATGAAATGTATTTAGGAAAATGTATAATAAATGTGCCTAGATATATACAACGCATTATTTAAGAGATTACCACGTAATTCTAGAATGATCGCAAAATAACTACAATTTGACTGACTGCAATTCTTGCCTGTAATGTTAAAATGCTGTTGTTTTTTTGAATACTCACTAATAAATTGTCTCCACACTGGGGAACAATAATCCGAGAACGGCAGAATAAACAATACATTTTGCGAGTTACATGTAATTGCTAAGAAGTTTTGGTGATGTTTGGTCGTCCCAACTAAGTTCTTCATCCGGGTCTATTTTTACTCGATCATCTTCTCACAATGGACGGTGTCGACTTGTTTTCAATTAAAGCGGGGGAGTCGTCACTTGCACATGCGTCAGATGGCCAAAGCATGTCATTGTTTACAAACAAGTGTCTACCCATGAGCCTTTGCGTTTTTAACGTGTTGTTATCGTCGCTTGGGACTCAATTCCCGTGCGTGCGCATGTGACGACCCTCCCCCTTTAATATGTGCAAAGATCTAGTAAGTGTGCTACGTTTCTGACGGGTTGTGATCAGCATACATGTGCAATTTGTTGTCATTTTACACAAAACCATAAATCATTAATAACTAAAAGGAAATACAACGCCCCTTCCCCCTAGAATAGAGTCACGGGAAACACTGGCGAATCCAGAAATTCGGTAAGCTCTGGTGGACTCGGTTTGTCAACGCGCGACTACCCCTAAATCCGCGCGTGGAGAACACCAACTGAACTGAATGTCTAAACATAGCTAAATACGAAGATAACAATTGTTTCCTGACACGGTTAATCGACTGAGGTCACTTTGGGTCAAGAAAGTACATTTTTAGCCCAAATGTTCAATATAATCTGTATTTTGAGAAACCTATCCGTACTTGCTGCAGTTTATGCAGCTCTTTTGGTCGTGGTATACGTTGCGGGCACGTAATGTCAGAATAGCCTAAGCGGCCAATAAGAGCTGCCAAACTGCAGCAATATCCGTACTAGTTATTTCTATAATGCTATATAGGCGTTCAGATGACATTGAAGTTTGAACTGCTTTTTTATGTTGAGTTCTGATTTCATTTTCTTGTATTCCATTATTAGTTGAATTCTCATGGTCAACCCATAATTCACCAATTTATTGTCAGTATCTACTAGGTGTGTCACAACGTACACCAATTACGGCCATGTACAGTGAGTTAGGCAGATACTCCCTAGATGTATTTATTAAAAAAAAAAAAAATTAAATATTACAGTCGGGCCATGAATTCCAATAATGTGTTACTCAAGAAAGTGACCGAAATGGTTGTGGTTAACCGAAATGTTAATAGTAAATGGTATTTAAAGGTAACATCGTTATTAAACAATATTTAACAATATCATTGTTAACACCCGTGATAAATTAACCTCGGTACAAATAAAACAAATTGATTTGGGCATAAAAGATTTATTCCCAACACAATGGAAAGGCGAGATTCATAATGATATAGTAACCGCACCAAAGCAAATGAAAAAAAAAACTGGAAACATATCGGCTAATCAAACCTTGAGCCATATTAATCAAGCTAAACAATTTTGAACTGCGTAGTATGTTACTAAATTTCGTCTTAGTGACCATAGTCTCAAAATTGAAATGGGTCGTCATAAAAAAATCCCCTTAAATAACGGGGTTTGTGACATGTGTAACAAAGGTCTAATTGAGGATGAAATGCATTTTCTGATGGAATGCAACAAATATGATGAGTTGTGCACTAAACTGTTCAATAAAGCTAAAGATAAGATCCCAGCATTTGAAAATAAACCTGCAGAGAAAAAAATCATGGAATTGTTACAGAATGAAAACATTATTATACCAGTAGTACAGTTCATAAGTAAAAACTTTGAAGTCAGGAAGCAGGATCTTACTTGACATTTTAATGCCTGCTGTCAGTAATATTCAACTTTTACTCTATTTTCTACGTTATGACAACTTGAATTTTTACCTATTTTTTATTATTTTAGTAATCTTACATTATTTAGTATTTTAGTGATTTTGTAATATTTTATTAATTTAGTGATTGTATTTTGTTATCTAACGTTTGGTTTTTTTCTTGTACCTTGTGTGACCATTTCCTTTCCTTCAAGGGGTTGTGTAAGAGTTAATAAGTAAATACAAAAAAAAACCTCAAGCGATTTTGTTTAGCAGGTTTAGTTTTTTCCGGGGTTTCAACACAAGCCTGTTGAAACCCGGAGCTGAAACAAATCACAAATAACGTTGGACCAGTTGCAATGATGTTTATAAATTGCCGTAAAAAAATGCTTGTAGCTGTCCTTTGAAACTTAGCAGTAATGCGTTGCCGTATATAACCTTTGACCCGCCCACCTCTATATCAAGGTCATAACGGTCACGTGACACAATCTCAGCGCGATGTTTGGCACATTCATAATGTAATCATCATGAGCGTTTCGGTGACTTTCACAGAGTGAACTTATTCATTACATCGCATATCTACTCTATACTTGACAACAGGGTATCTAACGTGTACATCTTTCACACCAGCCACGGTTTAAATACATTTTCAAGCTGGGTTGCGCTTCGTCAAATTCAGCTCCCAACAGTCGCGATTCACTTGATAGGAATGAATCAGGACGTGACGGCAGAAACATGGCGACCAGACGTGAAAGCGGCGGCAGCAGCAGAGTCGGTACTGGGCCTGCGTTGTCAGTACCACAGGTAAGGTTCTAGATCATCTCGTGAATGCCGAGAAATTTGTCACGAAGCCAGAAATGAACACATATCTGCCATCATTTTTAAACACTGTATTTTGTCCATCGTTCATTTGAATATACTCTCATCATTAGCTTATTTTGAAATATTGTTTCCATGGAAACGTTTCATGAAGAAGTCACTCTAGTATTCAAATGAATCTCGCTTGGTACGTGCAATTCAGCACGAGTTGTCCAATATTTTTAGACACACAACACAATTATGAGGACAAAAACAAAAGTTTTACTTCTCGTCACAGGGAAGATTGAAAAATAATTTTAATTTAATTTTTTTTTGTATTAAAATTATTCACTACTACTACAATAAGATATATTTTTAAAGGTGCAATAAGAACGAGAACATGCCATTTTTAATATTAATTTCTGAAACTACATTTTATTAAATGCATTGGATTACAAATTAAAGGTGGCCGTCGCGCTGCGCATGTGCAAAATTTGTGTTGATAAACATTGATTTCGCCACAATCCGATACGCTTTTCTAATAGAAATCACAAATTCGAGGTTTGACCTTGATGCGACTTGCATTATAATTACCGCCGGCGACTCCTTCGATACTTTCCAATCACCTAAAAAATACCTGATTAAAGCTTGGTAACGTCTCAGTTTGTATTCGTTGATCTGCGCAACAGTCAAAGTGGCCATCTTTGTTTATAGACCCATATATGCATGCGACGGCGCAACGATCATGCCTTTTAACATGAGCTAAAAAAGCTATTCTTGTAGCACATAATTATATATTCATAAAACAATGAAATCCTCGCATTAGCAATGATTGTTTTGGTATGTACAATCTCTGCACTTATGTATGCAAAATCAACATATTTAGTTTACAATATCATACCTGAGTTGGGTCCTCAGCATGCCAAGTCAAACAACAGTAGAAACGTGTGTTTTTGTTTATACACCAGGTTTCATGAAGGCATGAATTTGTTTTATAGACATTTAAAAATATTTATGAAACATTTATCTGGAATGATCCACGTACTTCATTCATATCCAGAGAAGATATGTTCATTGGCTGTAGAAATCATTTGGTAACGTCCATTACCAATGTGACTTCGGGTTTGGTTTGAGACTGGGTTTGTTCAATCATTGTCCGATTTACTGCAATGAATCCAAAAGATAGAACCCGTCAAATGTGTTTAAAACACTTGTGCTTTATTTGCTGAAAAAAAAAAGAATCAGTTCGCACAAAGCGTTAAATTGCGAAATCGAGTCAGTGTCAGAGGAGAAGTTTAAGATTAACTGACTGTAGTGGAGTTGTTTTCCAATCACCATTTAAATGTATAAACATTGATAAATATTTTAAAGCGCGGTAGTCGTCGCACAACACATGTTCGAATTTCATGTAAATAAACAATGTATTTTACGCGCGTTGTATATCGTCGCTATGAGTCCCATATTGAACAGGATGCGGCACGACGACTGCCACCTTTTAATGTAAGACTAATTCACGATTTCATGATTCCTGATTTATTACATCTTTAACATCTTTATTTGTATTGAACAAAACGAACGAAATCAAACATTTTGCTATTTTTCCCTAAGCGGCATGCTGAAGCAGTATGCAAAATTGAAAAAAATAAAAAATGTGTGAAGTACAACATCAATAATAAACAACCAGCATTGCCATATTAGATGAGTCGTTGTAGGTAAGATGCGACCAGCTTTATATGGAGTATAGTATCAACTACTTAGCACTCTGGTGACTTCATTATAATTAATAATAATATATTTATTGTAATCATATCTACTTTGGAATATTAATGTTATGATACAATGAAGAAGAAATAAATGATAATGAATGTTTTATTGTCATTATGATTTACTATGTATTTTCGACAGTAGAGTTATGCGAACGTAATATTTAGCTTGTTAAATCTAGCTTAGTTTAATTTTAAATCCACCATATATCTGAATTATGCAGTTTCATGCATTTGGCTAAATACATCTCATACTGCAATTATAATTTTGATAAATACTACAATGAATAAGTTAAGTTTAATCATGAAAATACCTTGACAGGCAATCTGTAATTCAGGTACAGTTATGTATCATACTTTGATTAGAAAGTTGCATACCTTGATATTGAGGAAATAGATAATTTTGTTACTGTTTTTTTTTTCTTTTTTTTTGCATGGGATGTATTTTTTTTTAATTTTATTTTGTTTTTTTTACAAAAATGATTTTATTCTTTTACTTCCTAAATATAATTAGTGACCATAAGCTTTCTGTAAAGCAGTCCACTATAATGACTAACTTTTTTTTTTTTTATCATAAATCTAGATTTGATGCTGATTGTGACAGAAATAAACAGTTAAAAGATAGTCCATTGGGGAAAGAAACAGCTAACAAAAATAAAAAAGAAACTCAATCTGCCTACCCAATATTTTGTTAGCAGGCCTGTTACTGAAAACACAGATTTTTTGTGCTTTAACCTTATCCGTTTATTTAATCTACTTTTTGTTTATTACTGTAAAATACTTTATTATAGCTGGATTTAGTCGTGGGTGATTGGTATGGAATTTATTTTCACTGATTTTTGATGAGTTGAATGTAAAATATAAGAAAAAAGGCATATTCGCTGGATTTTTTTTTTTCACTGAATCACGCCTACAGCAAATATGAATTTCAAACGAAAATAAAGTATTTTACAATATATTATATTAATTTAATTTATACACAGACACAGTTCCCAGCCATCAATTCACCCCAGAGACTTGGCTCCTCGACACCATCACTGCAGTCTACAAGCAGGAGTAAGGTAGAATTAAAGCCAGGGAGGTCATTGATGGACTGGATTAGGCTAGGAAAGAGTGGACAAGATTTGACAGGAGTCGGCGGTACATTGACAAATGTTACTAAAGAGGAATTATCGAAACACAATAAAGAAGACGATGTATGGATGTGTATCAAAGGTGAGTATGCACGGCCTTGTTTGTCTTTGCATTACTTTAAAGCTTTATTTTATAGACCGTTTTGTTGAGAGAGAAAATGTCATAGTACCGGGTAGTGAACATTCTGTTGCGACCTTAAGGACAACTACATGCAGTCAAAATGATTATCTTGAAATGTTGTTCCCACGAATAATATAATTATCTTGAAAATTGATAACAGAGAAAATTAAATACAGTCAAACCTCGTTAGTGCGAATATCAAGGCCCCAGGTGAATATATTCGTTATAACCGGTGTTCGTAATAACCGATCACCACTAGAGGGCGCTTTACAAAAACAAACTAATTACCATAAGTCAGGGTAAACAAAACTATGGCGCCATTTTAAACATTAGACCAAGCATGGAA